CTTAGAGTAGCGGACCAAATATTTGTGAGAGAACATAAGAACGATCTGAAGATGTTATAGCCATAGACAGTGACCCTTAATCAATTAAATGTTGTTCTTTTATTATATGAATATGTAACAGAAAGACGATCAAAAGAAACTGCACTGAGCAACCGATCTGAAAAATATGATGAAGAGAAGAACATTGTTGATGATAGACAATTAATACCCAATGACAAACGACTAACACTGGACGATAAACAACGGATGACTAACGACTGGACACCTTCCACACATTCTTTTCACTTTTACAAATCTTCGGTTATAAGGCGATGTTAAAAAGAACAAAGATCAGTTGTAATTTTTCAACTTGTTCTTCACATATTACTATATTGAAATGTTCATGTTCCTTAGAATAATTAAATATATCATTATTATACCACATATTGATCCGTTATACGCGAATCCTTCTGCACAGACACATACTGTACCATTACAAACAGCGTGCTTGTCAACACATGTGGACAAACTGGTCGTACAAGGTTCACCAATATGTGTGCCATCTACAATGTTAAAATTAATTGTTTTATTACAAAAATATTCCTGAATGTTCACACAAACGCTTATACAGAGAGATTTGGAAGAAAAAGTATTTCAATATTCAACAATTATGTTTAGAACAAATATTTTTCGTCTTTTGTAGATAGGAGCACGTACATAAAAGTTTATCTGTCAAGTAGTATTGAATAGCACCTTTAGAATAGATTTGGCAATACGAATATCTTTATTCATAGAAAGGTACAATACCATAAATAACATGTTATAAGTAAACATAAGTAAAAGACACAACATTGAATAATTGAGACATAATAATAAGTTTATACATTTAGATTTATTGCGTTCCATTATCGGTTTCAGTCAAACCAGAATTATATTAATTAATGTATTTTCTTTCCATTTCTTTAATAATATCAATCAAAAATGTGTCCACGTATCATATGATTATATTTTATATTTACAGCAGCTATCTCCGATTTGTACTTGACCGGCTGGACATTCACATCTATATGCAGACGAGCTACATTCCAAATCCGAGTCACAGGTGTCATCTGACGGATCACACGGATCGCATAACTCTGTTCCAACTGTAATACAAATCGAAAGAAAATGAGATGAAACAAAAACAGAAAACAGCTTTGTGAAATGACACAAATGCAAAAACAGTTACGTTCAATAGCCACATCAAAACATACACAATTGAATGATTTAGACACATAGCAGTTAACGATTAACGATTCAAAGATATCTATATATTAAGGTTTCTAACACATTAATTTTATAGAATAATTTCTATTAATATCAATATTAAGAAATAATATGCAATTAAATTATTTAGTCACATAAAAGTTGACGATCAACGATCTAAAACAAAGATTTATTTTAAGATGATTTGCACATTAATTTTATTTATTTTTTATTTTGTATTTCAAAGCTCTTACCACATATGGTTCCGTTATGATTAAACCCTGCTTTACAATCACAAACTGTACCATTGCATTCAGCATTGTCGTCAATACATGTATCCAGATTAGGTCTACATGCATCACCAATGTCTGTCCCATCTAAATGTATATACTTCATGAGCTTGACATTTCTTTTGATTGAATTAAACATTATAGTGTTATGGAAATGTGATGAAATGAACAGATTTTATAGAGTAACGTGTAACAATAAGAAATAAAAAAGGTTTACAGATATAACAAATATACTGTAAGACATCATATAAAATGTATTTGTACAATGCATCACATGAAATATTCTACGAACAAAAATAATCATACCAATTGTACTGTAAAATTGACAAAAAGCAATAAGTTCATTTATTCAAATTCACTTGATATTTATGTAAAAATAAAAACAGTTTTTGTGACTTTGACTGTTAGTTATAAAAAAAACTGCAATAATTGTATTCTCGGAGTAGTTAAATTATAAAAGATTTCCATTTGGCCGTGCTTTGAAAGCGTTTCGTATGTTTAAATTTTGCTCTGATGCTAAATGACGAAAATCCCTTTATATGCATCATACAATCACTTATGAGAAAGCATTAGTTATGAAAAATCAAACAAGTGACATACAGCAAGAATCTTCTATCTGAACTTCTCCTGGTGGGCATTCACATCTGTAGGTGGTAGAGCTACACACATATGATGGCAGACATGAGGTTGTTCCCGGGTCACATGGGTCACACAAGTTTGGTCCAACTGAAATTTAAAATATGATTAATGTTACCAAAAAGAAATTTGATATTGGTCTGTGATTAATCATTTACGCACAGAATAGCAAATAATCAACGTCAAAACTAGAAGAATGCAAATCTACCGGTAATACAGAAGTTTGTTATTTTGTTGATACTAATTTCCTTACTCCTATATTTATTACACCTTGATACAACAACCTTTTTCTCTTACCTGCCTCTTCCCTTTTTTCCTTTTTTACTAGAACAACATTTTATATCTTTTTCACTGGAAGTTATCCCAAACATAAAAAATAAGCCCAACATTTGTTAGTTAGTAAGAACATGAATATTTTTATATATTGAGTAAAGCAATCGGGAAAATTTAAAGTAATCACAATAATTACCACATTGTGTGCCATTCCACTTAAACGTGTCTACACAGTTACAAATTGTTCCGTTACATTCAGCATGATCATCAATGCACGTGTCAACAACCGATGAGCATATGTCAGTCACATGTGTACCAACTTTTAACATAAATTACAAAACTGATATCACTAAAAGAATATACAGGAACATCTTTACAAAGGATGAAAAAAAGTTTATTCTCAAATGTAACATTTTGTCATTTTCATGACATTTTGTAAAATATTTAATCATTCAAATATTGTACGCAACAGACTTAAATTCGAATAACGCCTCAAATGACATGAATACAGTGTCAATGTGTTTTAAAGTCATCTCTGAACACAGCATTATTATCTAACACATAAAATAGAATATTTGTTGTCGTTGTATTTAATAAAATAAAACATATGAAAAATGATGATAGCATTTACCGCATGTGTTCCCGACTTGAACCTCATCGGTCGGGCATTCGCATCTGTAAGTGCTCGAACTACATACCAGGTCATTAATGCATGTATCGGATGCGGGGTCGCATGGGTCACATAGATTTTCACCTCCTGTATAACATACTTATAAACATATATCGAATACAGGCGCAAACATGCTGACGCGGTTTGTAATTGATCAGTCAATTACGTCAAGAAAAATCTGTTTGTATCGAATAAAAAACAAACCGAACGAAAAGATGCAAAGTTTTTTTATCAAAAGCCTGAAACCCATTAAAAATAATCATAGAGCCAGTTGAATGTTTCCAAGTTTAAGAAAGAAATGCAACAAATATTTACATCATGCAGTTGGTGACCAACAAAAACAGAATATGATTTCATATTACACTATTTGTAGTGAATCACATTGTATTATAATGATTTTATTATTATAAACGTAAAACATGTTACACATAATTGAAATACAGTTATAATAATTATGCTATCTTTACAAAATTATTTTATGATTTATTATTATTTAATAAATTTATTGTACTTTTTTATACGAAATAATCTGAAATAAACCTGAACAATGTTAATATTCTTTAGTATCATATAAACAAATCAAAAGCATGAAATACTATAAAGACTGGAAAGATTGTTTATACCGCACATGGATCCGTTCCAATGAAAACCCGATATACAGACGCACACGGAGCCATTACATACAGCATAATCGTCTATACACGTGTCTACACTTATCGTGCATGATTCTGTCACACGAGTACCGTCTATAAATATATAGTTAAATCTCATTTTTATATTTACAGTAGTTGAATCTCATTTGTATATTTACAAAGAAACAACAACAAAAAAGGATATTTTTTCCTATTTTCAATATCTAACTTTAGTTAAAACTAAAATTGATTATCGATATACACAAAAAAGGTGGCTTACGTACTAGAAGCCGTCGCTGGGCTCTTTCTTTGAACGTTTTCATTACGGATAAAGCAAACTATATAATAACATTATTGAGTAATACAGATTTGCCAGTAATGAGAATATTTTAATTGTCATAATTATATTGATGTTTTCTTTCAATACACGATGTAGTAACAAAAAGCAAAAGACGAAAATAGAACAATAGAATAAAGTATGATTAATGTATCAAATAGAAGATTTAAGAAGAAATCTTAAATAACAATTCTACAGTTGTGTTGAGATTGTATAATTACAAAAACATGTTTATCTTAAAGAACAAATTTCAACCAAACAACAATAAAAAAAGCATTATTTCTTATCCAGATCGAATGTCTATAAAGTTTGATTGTCTACAACTTACAGCAAGTTCCATCAATTTGAACCTGGTTAATGGGACATCCACAGACTGACGTATTAAGACATACGAGGTTTGATGAGCACTGATCGTCTGATGAACAAGGCTCCCCAGTGTTACTACCAACTAAACATTGAAAAGCGAAATTATACATATTATTAAGAAACATCAGACTTTTCCAATATAAATTTATATAAAGCAGCACTATACAATTTTTACTTGTACATATATTTTACGTCGTATGTAGAGGTTATTTTAGCCATGAGTGTCACGTGATGTGCATATACAATATCATACAATAAAAACAGAATAAAACTTTCACAAGGTTCGAGCTCGAGCTGCTGTTTATTATTCATTCGTCAGCTGGACCGGATAATAATTAGCCGTTGCCAAAAAAGTATTTGGCCATGTCAGCATGCACAGGCTCTGTATTATAGGCTGACAACCTTAAATTCTTTATTTAATAGCATCTAAAATAATAAATTAAGAAAGTCAGCATGCTTAGTCCATTATTAATTTAGAAGTGTGTTACAAATATACATAACTAGTATTTTAACTTGTTTCAATAAATATGTTTCAACCAAACTAGAATAGTTTTATCTTTTTTTTTAATTACCGCAAATCAATCCGTTCCAATCAAATCCGTCGTTGCAATCACATATGGTTCCGTTACATCCCGCATTGTCGTCCGTGCACGTGTCCCGACTTCCAGTGCACACTTCACCCACCAATCTACCGACTTTGTAATAATTACATAATAATATATTTGGACAAGGCAAAAGTGAAAGTGCTCATGAACCAAAAACACACATTTTTAAGATTATATTTTATCCTTTACTATATGTCTACTGCTTCATGATTATAATAACGATTAAAAATCTCAATAGATAATCATTTTAAAAATAATAATAATGAAAATGGCGGCGATTATGATATAATAAATACTATTCATTTACCACACGTGTCTCCAATTTGAACCTGGCCCGGTGGACATTCACATCGGTATGTGTTTGCGCTGCATACCAGACCAGATCTGCATGTAGTTATAGATGGGTCACATGGCTCGCACAACTCCATGCCGACTGTGTAGGAAAACATATGTAAGAAATTGATTTACTTGCTCTACACATCTCTATATTGCTGTTTTTGTTATTTTTGTTGGGGGTTTTTATTTTTTTTTTTTTCAGAAATGATGCACTTTAAATATCTACTATTTGCAAAAATCTGATACACGTAACATACCTAAATATGAATCATTTTTTATACCTGCTGATTTTTCATCTAAAAACGAATTGAAGAGAGGTTATTACGCGAGCTTCTGGGAGTTTGATAGCATTTTACCTGGACGAGTTTCACAAAAAGTATATATCAAATTACAACTTTTCTCACAAGGCTGAATTCATCTATAAACATGTATAAACATACGTTTAACTTAGTACAAATGTGCCATTATATCATTACGTGTGTAGGATAAAGAACTATTAGTTATATTGCATATAAAACAAAGACTGCATGATAAATTATCGTATTAAATGTTATTAAGGGAACAAATTTTATATAAAATTTTCCTTATAAGAATAACTCATAAACAAAATACAACTGTAATATAGACCTTCAATTACAAGAAGCCGTATTGCATATGAACTATGTTAGGCTTCTTGTGAACGGAGACAGTTTGAAATCTGAACTTAAAACACATAAAATACTTTTTACGTATCGGTTTGATTTTTTGTCATGGTATAGGGATTATCTCTGGGAATTACTGTAGTGAAGACCAAATCACTACAACCTAGCCAATAATCGAGCAATTTTAACGACATATCGATATAAAAAAACTTACGACAATGTGTTCCATTAAACAAAAAATTTTCGATGCAAACACAAATTGTGCCATTGCATTCAGCAAAGTAATCCACACATGTCGGCAATGCGGTCGTGCAAGGTTCTGTGACTCGTGTTCCATCTTTAATTTAAAAACATCATTCACAGTACGACATATCATTTATAACTGAGATCATATTAAAATTAAGAACTAGTAAAAAAGATTATTAAGGCGGTGTACCTGTAGGATAACATCATCTATTTAACTTCAACAAAAAGACTTCAATAGGGTAATAAATAGTAATACGCCTCGGTTGACAACAAACATGATTTTGGTATCATTTGAAAGCAGATGCTTGGGAGCATAAGCAGATATAAAACAAACACAAAAATCACGAGCTTAATTAGAAAATATACTAATGACCACCCACTTATTTTTACCAGTCTCCACCGGAAATTATATCATTTATTCAGTTAGCTTTGCAAAGAAATCAACCAATTATGGCTGAGGGGTTACAGCCACCGTTTAACCCTGTTTGATCGAGATGCTTTTGATCCCTGGTGTTGCTTTAAAGGTGTAACACCTGAAGTTCGCTAAAATCAACTTTCTTGTTTCGGCACCATTTGACCTAAATTGTGTTGGTGGGCCGTAAAACCAGAGCAAACAAACAAACTACAATAATCAGTCAGAGAATATTATGTACTTACAGCATTTGTCTCCAATTTGCACTTCATCTGCCATACATTCACATCTGTAGGTGTCCGAGCTACATTCAAGACCAGGTCCACAAGTATCCTGATCGGGGTCACAGGGGTCACAAAGCTGTTCACCCTCTTAGATTGTTACAAAAAGAACATTATAATAGTTAAGTTTAACGTCGTTTTAATTATTTGTAAATTGTAAGCCTACTCAAAAAAGAAATGATAGTGCTGTTTTATTTTTTCTGTCTCTGTTTGAGAAAATATAATAAATTTCTGTCGTCGCTATTTACAAAGATGCGTTCAAACCTATTGATCTATTTTAAGGAAAGTTATATCAAACAGTTTTTAGTGGTGTATGATATATAATGTAACTGTTATGCCTTTATTTTTTGGTAGATAGAACCTAGCACACACATTGGCTTGTGGCTTGTCACAAAAAGATTCAACTGCTGAAATGCTTCAAATGTGTCAAAAGTTCTTAAACGTGCTGCATATATGGTTATTTATTTTTTAGGATGCAGATCTATTAAGTACATTTATTCTTTCATAAACAGCTGACTATACCAAAGGTAAGACTAGGAAAACATTAAGAAAAAAGTATTAGTGAAACATTATCTAATATCATCTGTGATGTTTCTTTTAACAAAATACTTACTGCAGCCAGTGCCATTCCAATGGTACCCAGCAATACAATCACAAACTGTTCCATTACAATTAGCGTAAGTGTCCGTGCAGGTGTCAGTCGTACTAGTACACGTGTCACCAACATGTGTACCATCTTATGTTAAATGAAAATTAAGAATACTCTTATTAACTATTATAAGATTTAATTCTCTAGTTGTTAAAGGTCAATAGAAAAGAAGTTATGAAATTTATGAGCAAATAAGAGACAGAAAGTCGAAATGCTGCAGAAACCAAACTGATCCTTTAATGTAAAGGTATTTTATTGATTATATTAAATTAGTCGAAATCGAGTAATGATAGTATTTCTTAAATGATTTGTTGCAGGCATTGCAATCTCTAGTTTCATAATGGGATTTCAATCTATTATTTTTTAATGTGTGACCAGCATAAAATATGAAATCAATTATAATTATGACCAGCAAACTTACAGCAATTATCTCCAATTTGTACTTCGTCAGTTGGACATTCACATCTGCCTGTGTTTGGATTACAAACATAATCGTCGGAACATTCATCTGCATTTGGATCGCACGGATCACACAGATCAGTACCAACTGTTATAAAAAAAATAATATATATATTGTAAGAACACATATCGATCGAAAGTAAAACATTTCTGTAGACATACATGTTGTTAATCCTAACCTGTTCATGGGAGCTTTATTAATGTTTAGAAATTACGATATTCTTAATTGTAAAGAGTTCTAAAAGCTTATAATCATACTGATCATAAAAATACCATTAAATTCTAAAAGAAAAATATTAAACTCATATGTTATCACAGCTACAAATACCAGTAATGATCGTGAGAAAACTGTCTGGGTTTTTTTGGTGGCGGAATAAAACTGACCTTGCAAGTATTTCTCCAGACACGATCGGAAATTTGGGGAATAAATTTTGACCGTATACAAATTGTGTGTAATAGATGAATAATAAGCTTGAACTTTTCGAACATTTTGATCATCTGGCATTTATATAGGTGAACCTGATATTTTCTGGTTCTTTGGGATGCTGGCGACCATTAACCTTCTGAAGTCATAATTCTCTTTTGCGACATTCGCACCGTCTGACCAGGTTCTACACTGCTGACTGTCCGATCTTTGTATTATCATATTGAGGTCTCTAACATATTGAATGTGCTTACCAAAATTCAAAGCTCAGCTCGGCAAATCCATTTCACACTTTCAGCAGGTTAAAGGTCAAATGCACGGGAAATGACGGAATGTGTCATACATTTGTATTTTCACGAGATTGATACTAGTGCATAGTATGCTCGTTCGATGAGTAAAGTTAGAAAAACAAACATAAACTAACACACATATGAGCCGTGCCATGATAAAACCAACATGATAAGTTTGCGACCAGCATGGATACAGACCAGCCTGCGCATCCGCATACCAACTCTATAACAAGTAGAGAAACTGATAGCGAACAGCATGGATCCTGATCAGACTGCGCGGACGCGCAGGCTGGTCTGGATCCATGCTGGTCGCAAACGCATTACGTTGGTTTTGTCATGATGCGGCTCATATAGATACAAGAAGAGCCTTACCACAGATAGATCCGTTAAAGAAGAAGCCGTCCACACAATCACAGAATGTGCCATTACAATGGGCATTATCATCTGTGCAGGTATCTAATGAAGTTGTGCAACCTTCGCCGACTAATGTTCCATCTTAAATTTATGTATTATTAACATCTTTTTTTAAATCTATTCAATCTTTATTGAAGAATAACAATTATTTTTTCATAAAGGTAAATGATTGATTTACAAATATATGTGTGTCAACTTAGTTGAAACGTAATTTAATGAAAGCATAATTTAAATAATGTTTATATACATTTGTATATAGGCAAAAATATATTCTTTAAATAATGACAAATTTATTACACAAATTAATAAAATTTAATGCAATCTTGATTGGTTAATCAATTTATCCGACCTTATCCTGCATCTTAATGTGTTTCGTGTTTATATTTATTAGATTAATTCCATTTAATATTTGGTATATGAATCCGCATCATTTTAAGAATATTCTGTTAATGGAGATATTAACTTGTAACAACATAGTATATATATTTACAGCAGGCATCAGCAATTTGAACCTGGTTTGTCGGACATTCACATCTGTAGGTTGTTGTACTGCACACGAGCCCAACGCCGCACGTGTTACTTAATGGATCGCATGGATCACACAAACTATCTCCAGCTGAAGATAAACAAAACATTCTGTGTTTATACATAAAAAATTAAACATCAAAAGTGCTGAAGTGTGTGAATGATAAGTTCTGTTTTAAAATTTAAACAGTAAACTCTGTGTAAGGGATTCCAACATGAAAATCATATAACAACTGAGTTACCAACAATGACGAGCCTGGTCAGACTGCACATATCAGCAGGCATGCCTGGCTCTCTACTGCACACAGATATGAGTCGTGTCACGACAAAACCAACATAGTGCGTTTGCGACCAGCATGGATCCAGACCAGCCTGCGCATCCGCGCAGTCTGATCAGGATCCATGCTGCTCGTTTACCAACTCTATTACAAGTAGAGAAACTGATAGCGAACAGCATGGTTCTTGGTCAGACTGCGCGGATGTGCAGGCTGGTCTGGATCCGTGCTGGTCGCTAACCCACTATGTTGGTTTTGTCGTGACGCGGCTCATATATTGAATTAATGTCTATCAGGTTAAAAGTTAAAACGTTATATCCTAATGGAAAGAAATGCTGTTGAAAATAACTTTTAATTATTCAAGTATTGATATTACTGACTGCTTCAAGTAAAAATGTATATGATAATGAATACAAACTAAATGTTTATCAAAATGCGCAAAGTTTCCGTAATATTTCAATAAATGTCATATGCAAGAAATATTGCAATATAAATGATATGCAGACTTGAGATCTTGATACAATTTAGCTATGTCTCTGAGGTTATAAAGAATTTCTCGAAGCTCAAACTCAGATCTCAGGTATTTGATTGGTCGGAAACTGCCATAAAATGTTCACTGACCAGTGAAAATCATGATATTTGAGAAGAAATTCAAAACAAAAAGTTTTATAACCTCAGGCCATGATCCTAGGACTGTTCAACATTTTCAAAATTTTGAGAATTTTTTAATATATACATATGTACATTTTCTTGAAAAATTAGATATTTTCTGATTTAAACTAAGTCTTAATGATTTTTTTTTGTTTGGAAAACATTACGATAGTCAAACTTTAGCTTGCTGAAATAGATTATATTGGTATTGCAAACAAACCAGATGTCTGGTTAAGAAACAAAACTGTTTGACAGTCTTCCTTTTTTTAATTGAATTTTTTCTTTGTTTTGTTCTTTTCTTTTTTATGCGTAATATATGTTTTGTTTATGTTTTTGTTTGTTGGTTTATTTATTAATTTTTGGAGACGGGGTTCTAGTAAGGTACAGACAAGTAAACCAATACTTACAACATGATGTGCCATTCCACCTGAATCCGTCCACACAATCACATATAGTACTATTACATCTAGCATTATCATCAATGCACGTATCAACGACATTGGTGCACGGGTCTGTGACACGTGTTCCATCTATAAACAAAAAACATCAAAAAACGTTTGTTAAACTACAATAAGGAATAGGATCAAAATGTTACAATGTATGAGTATTTTATGTAAGGGAATCTTAAAGTGCATCGTCCTTTGTATAATTATCATGTTCTTTATATAATTATCATGTTCTTCGTATAATTATCATGTGCTT